CAACCCCAACCCCGCCCTGCCCCCAGCTCTGCAGCTGCTCCCCACCCCCATCCTCATCCCTGCCTAGCCTCCGTCCCAGAGAAACCCGTAATTCCCAACTCACCCCGATCCTCCTGCCACCCCAAACCATCCATATTTCCCAAACCCAGCCACTGCCAACTCAATACCAGGCCAGCTCCAGTCCTTTCCCACCTTCCATTCCCAACATCCATCCTCCACCCCACCCCATTTCTGTCCTCACCCCACCCCGATGTAAGGCCTGTCCCAATCCCATCTCCATCCCAAACCCTTCCATAAATGCATCCTTACCCCCACTCCCCGCAGCCACCTCACCTCCATCAGGGTCTCCCTCCCCCCGCCCCCCATTTCCCTGTGCTGCCCCTGCCCCGTGGGCCCGGTCACTCACGGCTTCCGGCAGTGGGCGGCCGTGAGCACCCACTGGGAGTCCACCAGCACCCCTCCGCAGTACAGCTTGTTGGGCCCCAGCAGCAGTGCGGCCTGCCACGGCTGGGTGTCCTTCTCGCAGTCCGAGCCATTCACGATGCGGGAGCTGCCGTCTGATCTGGAGCTGTCCCTGGCCCCGCTGTCCGCGTCGCGGCTGTCCCCAGAGGTCTCCTTGTCAGAGGGGTTGTTGCAGGTGACAGCCTCGTTTGTAAGAACAGGCTCTGGGGGTGGGGAGGAGGGGAGAAAGTGGGCGGGGTTCACACTTGGGGCGGGGCCTATGCACCGGGAAGTGGGACTGATCACACGTGTCTGGCCAGACTTTCTGCCACTGATGATGAGGGGCGGGACCAGGCTCCAAGGGAAGGGGGGGTCCTGGGCCTTGGCTGGACCTTAAGGGTTCCTGGGCTGGGTTAGAGCTCAGTGGGGGGATAGGGGAGCCCGGGAAGGGTAAAGCTGGGTACAGAGGCCCTGGGACACCCTGAGGTCCAGGATGCAGGGGTCAGGGCTGCAGGGGTTGTGGAGATGGGACTTGGTTTTGAAAGTGGATGGAGAGAGCAGAGCCTGTCGTGATCAGCTGGGCAGGGACAAGGCCTTGATCTTGTGGGGTCGAGGGGGTAGGAATCCTGCATACAGACGCCCTGACTTGAGGACATGATGGTCTGGGTCCAGAGCTGGGCGTTCACTTGGCAGCAGCCCTCCACACCCACCACCCCGGGCACAGACACATGGTCAGCCCTCCACGAAGCTTGGTCCTGCCACAGCCACGCACAGACAGACAGCATCTCCCTGGCACTAGCACCCATATCCACGCACCACGCCCAGGCAGGGCGCACAGAGACGCCCCGGAGAAGGCTGGAGCCCCAGACACCCCGGACAGCAGCAGCCCCGCGTGAGGCCACGTGGCCAGCCTGGCTACAGACTGTACCACACTAGCACCATAGATGTGGAGCCACAGAGTGGCCGAGATACACACTCTGAAACACATACCCTGTGTCACACAGTCACACACATGGACGCCGAGGGTTGGTGCCCCTCAAGGTGGGAAAAAACACCCACACGCGTGTGCCTTACACATGCACACACACACACACACACATGCCCGCATCACAGCCCACCCAGACTTGCACGCACTCACCCCCTGCTGGGGTGAGACCCCCACCCCCCCATGTACACTCACAGGGTGGGAGGGAGCGGTTACCTGTGACCCCCAGAACCAGCGCCGTGATCACCACACCCAGCACCCACATCCGGGAGGACCCCGCCGTAGCCATGACCTCTGCGCCTGGTGTGGGAAGGAGAGGGCTGAGTGATTCCCAGTACCCTTGCCCCCCACCCTTCCCCTCCCTTCCCTGCCCCATTTCCCACACAGACAGGATCCCAAATTTCCACCAGCAGTACTGAGCTGACGCCCTGGGGGCTGATGGCCGAAGGCAGCCCCGCGGGCCCCCCTGGTCCCTGCACATCCCATCTGGGACCACAGCCCCCCTCCGCAGGCCTCACCCGCCAGCCCAGCGTCCCCGGGCAGGGCAGCGGTGGGTCAGGCTCCCTGCTCAGCTGCCGACATCACACCTTCCTGCAGCCTTCTCTCCCAGGCTGCAGCTCCTGCCGGGTTATAACCACCCACAGGCCCCCGGGGCCCTCCCGGGCAGGGAGGGCCTCCCATCTGGCCTTAGCAATCACTCCTCCTGCCTCCCCTCTCCTCCACCCCAGAGTACCCCCACCCACCCTCTCCGGAGCAGGTGCCACGCCCTCCCTCCTTCACTTCCTCCCTGGGTTGTGGAGGAGGGAGGCCCAGGTCAGCCCAGGCCAGGGCCTTCCCCGCTTCAATCTCTCTGTCTGTCTCTGTCTCTCTGTCTGTCTCTGTCTCTCTCTGTGTCTCTGTCTGTCTGTCTCTCTCTGTCTCTCAATGTTCTTCTTCCCTCCGACTCGTGTCTGCTTTCGAAACTCTTCTTCCTCTCATCTGAGGGTTGTCTTTCCCAAGCCTGTCTCTGCCCATCTCAGTCTCGTCTCTGGGGGTTCAGATCTCTCTGTCTCTGTACATGCCCCCCCCCCCCCCCGTCAGTCTTTCTGGGTCTCAGTGTCTTGCTGTCTGTCTGTCTTTGTGAACCTTTCGTGGCAGTTCAGTCAGATCCACCTCCCCTGATTTCTCAAGCATTTTGTCACTCTATCTGCCTTGTGAACCGTATAACCATGTGAGTTTACACACACACACACACACACACACACACACACACACAAACACACACACACACACCCCAAACCATCACTACAACCCAGACGGCAAACAAATCCATCATCCCTGAGACTGTCCTTGATCCCTTTTGTGAGTGTGCAACCCTCTGTCAAGACCCTTTCCATCTGTTGCTTCCTCTTCCTCCTCCTCCTCTTCTCCCCCCACCCCACCCTGTCTCTGCATCTTCCTGTCTCCCTGGCCATTTACAGAGAAACCATTCACCACCACCTCCCTAGCCCCTGCCCCTCACCTGAGCCCAGACCACCGGGCAGAAGGCGGCAGAGACTCAGGCCAGGCCCCGGCACGTCCTTTGGCTGGGCAGGCATAGCCGAGCGTGGGTGCCGGAGCTGGGCAGGGCTACCTGTTGATAAAAGAAGAGGCTGAAAGCCAGAACAGGGGGCGGCAGCTCCTGGCCCCTTGGGAAATGGGACACTGGGTGGGGATCCTGAAGGGTGGCTGGGCCCTCCCAGAGGTGGCTGTTTGGGCCGCCTCACCTGACCTCTGTTCTTCTCCCTCCCATCCTAACTCTTTGTCCTGATCTCTGTCCTTGCTAGCAAGTAGAGCCAAACATTTGTGTGTTGTGTGCCAGACACAGCTCTGGCATGGGTAAGGTGACAGATGTGAAGCTTATGTCCAAGTTGGGTCCCTTTTCCCCAAGGGCAGGAACGGGGTGCCAGTTGGGGGCTCAGAACCCCAAGACTGGTTTGAATCCCCAAGGAGAGGAAATATTCCAAATGCCCAAAACCAGTTTGGGCCTGTTTGGGCCACACCCTATCCCTTCTGTGGTGTTTTGTTTGTATGACAGGGTCTTTCTAACTTGGCTGGTTTTGAACTCCAGATCTTCCCTGTCTCTGCCTCCCAGGTAGTTGAGACTGCCATAGATGCACCATGCCTGGCTTCTTTGGTTCCTCACCCGGAGGTCTTTAGGCTTGTCCAGTACCCAGGTGTCCTTCTTTCCCTCCGAGCCCTAGGGTCATGATCTTTTCCTCCTGGTGACCTACAGTTCCAGCCACATCACCTGTGCCTTGGGATCCAGGATGTCCCCTGGGGTTCCCTGACCCTGTCTTCCCTCTATTAGGAATGCCTTCAGCTCTGTGCGGAGGTCTTCTACCCCATTACCTTTCTCCAGCCCCGGCTCAGCCCATCTTCTCTCCCTGCACCATGACTCCACACGCTGACCCTCAGCTCCGTTCTCTCCCCTCCCGTCCATTCTGCTGCCCACACTCCCAACCCTTCTACAGCTGTCTGGGGCCTTCAGGACAAAGTCCAGACTTCCAGAGTCAGCCTCCTGCTGTCTCCTCCCATCCTGTCTCTCTTCACCACCACCCCTATGCAACCGTCTCTAGACCCGCTCTCCTCCCTGCTTTTCCTGCTAAAAAGCCGATGGGAAAACCATCCCCGGGGACTAGCATGAGATAGAGTGGTCCAGGCATCTTCCTGGGGCAAGTGGCAATCCAATGGGGGCGGTAAGGGGCAGAAGAGAAATGGGAAACTACCAGGTGTTTGGTGGCTCACACCTATCACCCTCGCTACTCAGAGTGCTGAGATCTGAAGATCATGGTTCCAAGCCAGCTTGGACAGACTCGAACCTACAATTAACCACCAAGAAGCTCGAAGTGGAGCTGTGGCTCAAGTGATAGAGAGCCAGCCTTGAGTGAAAAATCTGAGGGACAGCACCCAGGCCCTAAGTTCAAGTCTCAGAACAGACACAACCTGCCCCCCCCTTTTGTCCCCCTGTCCTGGGGCTTGAATTCAGGGCCTAAGCGGTGGTCCCTGAGCAATTTTGCTCAAGGCAAGCACTTTAAGCCATAGCTCTACTTCTAGTTTTCTGGTGGTTCACTGGAGATAAGAGTCTCACAGACGTTCCTGCCTGGGCTGGCTTTGAACCACGATCCTCAGATCTCAGCCTCCTGAGGAGCTAGGGTGACAGGCGTAAGCCACAGGCACAAGCCACCGGCACCCAGCACAAAGAGCTTCTATTAGTGACAAATCCACATGGTACAGTGGTGTCTGTAAGCACATGGGGTGCACTAGCCCATGCATTTCTTGCCTCAATTGCCCTAATGTCTCAGGCAGGAGCTGTTGACCGAGGGAGTTCATCCCCAAGGGATCAGGCAGAGTCTGTGGTCTTGCATCTTTATTAAACATGCGGGGCCAGATCTCAGCAGGGGCTGGGATGGGAATATTGAGGATCTAGACAGTGCGGTTGGGAGTCAAGAGTGGGGCCAGCTGGTGGAGTTGGAGGTCAAGCATGGGGCCAGCAGGTGGGGTCAGAGGTCAAGCGTGGGGCCAGCCGGTGGAGTTGGAAGTCAAGCCTGGGTTGTCACAGGCCAGAGCCATCCTGGCGAATGACGTTCTTCACCCATTGGAGAAGCATGCAGATGTTGGTGTAGACTCCTGGTTTGTTCTTGGATCCGCTGGGGGAAATCACCCCAAGCCATAATGCCCCGGAGATGGTTGTCACATATCAGGGGGCCCTCGGAATCACCCTGTCAGAAAGAGGGAGTGAGTGTGATTTAGAAGCCGGAGGGAGGGGGAGAGTGGCTGAAAAACGGGGGTGGGGGTGGGGGAAGAACGATGGAAGGGTGACCGCAGTGTGCTGTACTCGTAGCCTGACTCCTGGAAGAGAAACCCTGGCCATGCCACACACGCAGGAGGCAGGACTGTGGAGGGGATCGAGGTTCTAGGCCAGCCAGGGTGGAGAGGGGGGATTGAGCAAGATTTCCCATCTCCACAGAGCAAGCTGGATGTGACCGTGAAAGACAGCCATACAGGGGAGGCACAGAGAGGAGACTGTTGACCCAAGGTTGACCTCAGGGAGAAAGGGAGAGACCTTATCTACAAGGAAGGAAAGAAGGGAGGGCGGGAAGGAGGCAGAGAGGGAGGGAGGGGTGTTATAGCTCAAGTGGAAAAGTGCCTGTTAAGCAAGTTCAAGGCCTTGAGTTTAAATCCCAGTATCACAAATGAAAGAAAGAAGGAAGGAAGGAAGGAAGGAAGAAAGAAAGGAAGAAAGAAAAAAGAAGGAAAGAAAGAAATAAAGGAAGGAAGGAAAAAGGAAGGAAGAAGGAAAGAAAGACAGAAGGAAAGGGCTGGGAAGGTGGCTCAGTGGTAGAGCGCTTGCCTTGCATGCATGAGGCCCTGGGTTCGATTCCTGAGCACCACATAAGCAGAAAAAGCTGGAAGTGGCGCTGTGGCTCAAGTGGTAGAGCTCTAGCCTTGAGCTGAAGAGCTGAGGGACAGCGCCCAGGCCCAGAGTTCAGGGCCCATGACCGACAAAAAAGAAAAAAAAAAAGAAAGAAGGAAAGAAAGGAAGGAAGGGGAAGTGAGGGAGGGAGGGATGGAGGGAGGGAGGGGAGAAGGAAGGAGGAAAGAAAAAAAGAGAGAAGGAAGGAAGAAGGAAAGAAAGAAAGGAAGGAAGGAAGGAGGAAAAAAGAGAAGGAAGAAAGAAAGACGTAAAGGAAGGAAGAAGGAAAGGAAGAAAGCGGAGGAGAAGGAAAAGGGGGAAGAGGAGGAGGAGGGGAATAGTTGGCTAGCACAGCCCCTGTCACCATTCTGGATCTCTCTGGCTCTTGGTCTCTGCCTTCTGTCTCTCTTGGCGGTCTATCTCTGCCTATCCCTTGCTGTGTCTCTTCCTGTGGCGTGGAGTCTTCTCCCCCTTTCCCGCCGCTGCCCTGGTGTTTCCATCTCTGTGCAGCTGTTTCGGTCTGCGTCTCTCCCTGTCTCTCCCTGCCTGTCTCTAGCAGGGTGTCCTTGGCTGCCTGGCCAGCAGGTCTGGGTTGGTTCACCTGGCAGGAATCTGCTCCTTCCTGGTCGTTGCTGGCACACACCATGGTCCGGGTGATCTGGCCGGGGTAGGCTCCCTCACAGTCTGCCTTTGGCACCAGGTGGACTTCAGCACAGTTAATGGTGTCAGGAAAAACACCTGCTGGGAAAGAGGTGGGTCAGACTCAGCAGGCCCCGCCCTTCCCAGACCTCCCCAACCATTCTGCTCCCACCCCTCAATTGTCCTTATTTCCCATTGGTCCCCTCTGCCTCTCATGCTTAGACCCCCCCCCCCCACCCCATTTCTATGGTCACAGCTTTCTGATTGGTCCCTTTCGCTATCAATCTTTCCTCTCATGGACCCGCTCTCCTTTCCTATTGGCCCTTCAGCTAACAGTCCATCTCCCCTATTGGTCTTTTCCTATTGACCCCGCTCTTCTTTATTGGCTCTCATTTACTATTTTTTTTTTTTAAATCCAGTTGTCTATATTATTATTATTTGCTTTTGGTTGGTTATAGGGTTTGAACTCTGGGCCTGGGCACTGTCCTGGGCTCTTTAGCTCAAGGGAGCATTCTACTTCTTGAACCACAGCACCACTTCCGGTTTTCTAGTGGTTTATTGGAGATAAGAGTCTCACGGACTTTCCTGCCCTGGCTGGCTTTGAACTGCGATCCTCAGATCTCAGCTTCCTGAGTAGCTGGGATGACAGGAGGGAGCCACCGGTGCTCAGCTTATATTATTATTATTAATCTCTTCATTCACCTTCAGTGGGTCCTGCTCATCTATTGGAATTGTCTCTTCCCTAGTTTCTCCTCTAGTGACTCCTCATGACTATTGGCTCTTTCCCATTAATTTATGTTTTGTTTGTTTTTGAGATAGAGCTGGCCAATCACCTCTGGCCCCCCCCCCCCCAACGCCCTGATTGCTGGCCTTGTCCCCTGCACACTTTCTGTACTATTTTCTCTCTCAGTTGATGTGCTTCCTTTGGTTGCCTTGTACACTGATGTCCTCCAGTTACTTCTTCCTTCCTTCAATTTTTTTTTCTCATCAGGGCATCCTTTTTTTTCCCTTTTAATTTTATTTTTGTGTCAGTGCTGAGGCTTGAACTCAGGACCTGGGCACTGTCCCTGAGGTTAGTTAGTGTCCTACCACTTTGAACCACAACTTCACTTTTGGCTTTTTCTGATTACTAGGAGATACGAATCTCATGGGACTTTTCTGTTTGGACTGGCTTCAAACTACCATCCTCAGAACTCAGCCTCCCTAGTAGCTGGGATTACAGGTGTGAACCACAGCACCAGGCTCTGGGCCCAGCATTTTATGGCACATCCTTCTCTGCTCTTCATTGCCCTGTTTGCTTTCTCCATTGGCTGAACACTCATCGCCCCCCAAATTCTCAACCTTCTCTCTCCTGTGGACCTTCTGCCCATGAATACATGGGTCCCTGGGTCCTGCCATTCATTGTTAACGTTCCCTCTCATAGCCCACTACCTGCTGTTCCGTGTTCCTTTTGGCCCTTTCCTCGGGCCCTCCCCCAATCCCCCCCCCCCCCCCAATCCCCTTACTGACTCTCTTCTGTCTTGTCCCAGCCCAGGGTTTGGCAGTGGGACTTATGGGCCGAGCAGTTGGTCTCCATTGGCAGTGGCTGTATCCGATGAGAGGTCTTCACGGGCCGAGCCAGATGCAGCAGCATGAGGTCGTTGTCACGGGTCCTGGGGCGGTAGTTGGGGTGGATGACCTTGCAGACCACAGTGAACTCCTCCTAGGAGCTCTCCTGGTGATGGAGGTTGCTTCCCCAGGTAGACCTGCAGTTGCCTGCAAAGGGGTCCGAGTCTCACCTGGAGCTCTGGGGCTGTGGCTGAGGCTTCGACAGGGCCCGGAATCACCTGCCTGCTTCCCCAGTGCAGGGTGGTTCCATCCTCCAGACTTCTCCAGAATTGCCCTTCCTCCTCCCCGCTGCCTGGGGTGGCCAGTCAGCACTCCCCGCCCCCCGGGTTTGCTTCCACAGACCCCACCAGCTGCAGAGTGGAAATGCTGATCTGTGGCTCTAGTGATAGAGTACTTGCCCATCTAGACCGAGGGGGGAAGAGACAGAGAGAGAGAGGGGGGGGAAGGAAGGAAGGAAGGAGGGAAAGAGGGAGAGGGAGAAAGAGAGAGCATTGGGTAAGAAGGAAGGAAAGAGTTGGGAAGGAAGGGAAAAAAGGAGGGAGGAAAAAAGAGAAGAGATGAGGAGAGGTCAGAAGGAGGGAGAAGGAGGTGTGTGTGTGGGGGGGGGGGGGTGGTACATTGGGTCAGAAAGGAAAGACTAAGCTTGGTGGGACAAGTAAATCACAGCACTCAGGAGGGAGAGGCAGGAGGATTGTGAGTTTCAGGCCAGAATGGGCCACACAGAGAGACTCTGTTTCAGAACAAAGAAAAAGGAAAAGAGAACAGGTAGTGCACCCCTGTTGGCTCACATCTGTAATCCCAGCTACTCCAGGGGCTGAGAGAGCTGGGGATCAAGGTTTGAAGCCAGCTGGGGGCTTCTCTCTGCCTGAACCCCCTCCAGGGCTTCCTTGTCCTCCCCCAACCCCCCCATCTGAGGCAGCTACTCACGGTTTTTTGCAGTGGGCGGCTGTGAGCACCCACTGCCGGTCCACCAGGACCCCACCGCAGAACAAGTGGCCAGAGGTGAAGAGTGCAGCCTGGAGGGGGTAGGCGTCTGGGTGGTAGGGACTGCCATGCACCACTTTGTCCTGCTCCTCTGCTCAGGCTGAGGGACAGGGGCACTGGGTCACAGAGGGCCCGGAGATCCAGGCCCATCCATTGGGACAGCCCCCGACAAGGCTCCTTTCCCAGGCCTGTCACACACTGAACCAGGCTCATCATCCTGGTCATCCAGTCATCCCCCAGCCTTCCTCCCGCCTTCCACTTCCTCACCTCTGTTCCTCCCACCCTGACAGCTAAACTCATCCGATACTCATTTTTACTTTTTATCGGTTGTGGGGCTTGAACTCTGGGCCTGGGCGCTGTCCCTCAGCTCTTCAGCTCCAGGCTAGCACTCTACCACTTGAGCCACCGCACCACATTTGGCTTTTTCTGCTTATGTGATGCTGAGGAATTGAACCCAGGGCCTCATGCATGCAAGGCAAGCACTTGACCACTGGGCTACCTTCCCAGCCCTCATCTGATACTCTTTCAAAACAACAAAAAAAGAGGTTTTTATTTATTTTTGTGCCAGGACTGGGGCTTGAACTCAGGGCCTGGGTGCTGTCCCTTAGCTTTGGTGATCAAGGGTAGCGCTCTACCAGTTGAGCCACACCTCTACCTCCAGCTTTTTGGTGGTTAATTGGAGATAAGAGTCTCACAGACGTTCCAGCCTGGGCTGGCTTTGAATTAAGATCCCCAGATCCTCCCCAGTAGCTATGATGACAGGGGTGAGTCACCAGTGGCTAAACTCTTATCCCCAAGCTCAGATTCGCTTCCTTCCTAAGCCCCGCCCCCCATCTTCAACTCCCTCTCCAAGCACATTACCCCTCCCCCATCACGAGATCATGCCTGGCCCCCTCTACTTTCATCCTCACCTGAAGCAAGGAGAAGTAACCACAGGCTCAGTGTCCTCATGGTGAATCCTGGGGGAGGGAGGGAGGCAAATGTGCTATTAGTCAGAGACACAGCCTCCACTGGAAGCTCCGCCCTGCCCTGTCCCTCCTCACCCTCCCTGTCCTCCCTGACTGGCCCTGCTCCACTGCCCTTGACCTCTGCCCTTTCCTGATTTCTTGTGCCCCTCACCTCCTTCCCTTGTCCTCCAGATGAGAAATCTGTGAAGGAAAGAGCCCAGAGAACCCCTGGGACCCACTCACTGACTCCCAGTAAGACTTAGTGACTTCTCCTTTCTGCTTCCTCAAATCTTGCTTCTCTTCCTTTCCCAGCAACTAGGAATCAGCCTAGGGATCTCCTATCTTCCTATCTGTGGAATGTGTGCACACCTGTCCTAGGGCTGAACACAGGGCCTGGGCGTTGCCCCTTAGCTTTTTCACTCAAGGTGAGCGCTCTACCACTTGAGCCACAGCTCTACTTTGGTTTTCTGGTGGTTCATTGGAGATTAGAGTCTCACAGACTTCCCTGCCCTGGTTGGCTTTGAACCACAGTCCTCAGATCTCAGCCTCCTGAGTAGCTAGGATGACAGGTGTGAACACCAGCACCCAGTCTTCGGTGGGACACTTTTCTCCATGCCTTGGCTCTGCACCCACCCTTGCAGGCTGTGTGTGTGTGTGTGTGTGTGTGTGTGTGTGTGAATGCTCCTTGTCTTACCTGAAGACTGTGCGTGTATGTGTGTGTGTGTGTATGTCTGCATGCTCCTTGTCTTAACTACAAGCTGTGTGTGTGTGTGTGTGTGTGTGTGCATGTACCTTGTCTTACCTGCAGGCTGTGTGTGTGTGTGTGTGTATGTGCATGTACCTTGTCTTACCTGCAGGCTCTGTGTGTGTGTGTGTGTGTGTGTGTGTTCCTTGTCTTACCTGCAGGCTCTGTGTGTGTGTGTGTGTGTGTGTGTGTGTGTGTGTGTGTGCATGTACCTTGTCTTACCTGCAGGCTCTGAGTGTGTGTGTATTCCTTGTCTTACCTGCAGGCTGTGAGTGTGTGTGTGTGTGTGTGTGTGTGTGTGTGTGTGTGCATGTACCTTGTCTTACCTGCAGGCTCTGTGTGTGTGTGTGTGTGTGTGTGTGCATGTACCTTGTCTTACCTGCAGGCTCTGTGTGTGTGTGTTCCTTGTCTTACCTGCAGGCTCTATGTGTGTGTGTGTGTGTGTGTGTGTGTGTGTGTGTGTGTGTGCATGTACCTTGTCTTACCTGCAGGCTCTGTGTGTGTGTGTTCCTTGTCTTACCTGCAGGCTCTGTGTGTGTGTGTGTGTGTGCATGTACCTTGTCTTACCTGCAGGCTCTGTGTGTGTGTGTGTGTGTTCCTTGTCTTACCTGCAGGCTGTGTGTGTGTGTGTGTGTGTGTGTGCATGTACCTTGTCTTACCTGCAGGCTGTGAGTGAGTGTGTGCACGTGTGTGTGTTCCTTGTCTTACCTGCAGGCTGTGTGTGTGTGTATGCACATGTTCTTTGTCTTACCTTCTGGAGTTCTTGGGCTGGAGAAGAACAGCATCTCCTGACCTGTAGACAGGGGACAGAGAGTAAGTCGGGAGTGGGGGGGCTGCGAGTGGGAGAGGGACAGCACAGAGCTGCAGGTCACAGGTTACAGGTTACTGCCTGGCGCCCGGCCTCCCAGACTCTCGTCCCTGGGCCTCCACTTCCCTGCTCTTCCTTTATACCCCAGTAGCCCCTAGGTTAGCCTCTCCCTTTTCTTTCTGAGAAGACTGCCTACATTCCTTCTGCCCCCACAGCAGCTACCCGTGACCCCGAATTCAGTTCCAGGAAGGAGGCAGCCAGCCTTGCTATACCTGACCCCTAATTCAGTTCCAGGAAGGAGGCAGCCAGCCTTGTTACACCTGGGTCTGAGGGAGGAGGCTGGGCCTGAACCCTTGGGTCTGAGGGAGGAAGCTGGGTCTGGACCCTGGGTCTGAGGGAGGAGGGTTGGCCCTGGACCCCTGTGTCTGAGGGAGGAGGCTAGGGCCTGGACCCTTGGGTCTGAGGGAGGAGGCTGGGCCTGAACCCTTGGGTCTGAGGGAGGAAGCTGGGTCTGGACCCTGGGTCTGAGGGAGGAGGCTTGGCCCTGGACCCCTGTGTCTGAGGGAGGAGGCTGGGGCCTGGACCCTTGGGTCTAAGGGAGGAGGCTGGGCATGAACCCCTGTGTCTGAGGGAAGAGGTTGGAGTCTGACCCGCCCTGGGTCCTGAGGAAGAGGCTGGGATCTGGTTCCCTCAGTCTGAGAGAGGAGGCTTGGGTCTAGATCCCTGTGTCTGAGGGAGAAGGCTGAGGCCTGGACCCTGGTGTCTGAGGGAAGAGGCTGAGGTCTGGATTGCTCAGACTGAAGGAAGGGAGCTGGAGCTAGTTCTTCATGTTAGGTTTTTAAGTGGTAGAGACAGATGCTTCCTTGAGGATCAAATGCAAATTGTGAGGCAGAGACTAGCTCCCTGGCCCCCACCTCTGCTCCTAGCCTCCATGACTTCCATCTCCCATCCAGGAGTGCTCAGGAGCAGCAGCCCTCCAGCTGCCCGGGGTGATGGGGCACTGGAACCAACCACTCAGGTTCAGGCCATCAGGGTGACTCACCTGCCTGTCCCTCTGTGGGTGCGATGACCTCCCTGTCCCCAGGAGGGTGTGAGCTGTGCCCTGCCCCAGGCTGGGTGGGCAACGGGGAAAGGGTGGCACAATGGAGCTCTGTTCACAGGGTTGGTCCTGTGCTGTCCTTGTCTCTGTTTCTCAACTCCTCTTCCAGGAAGGGCGGTGGGAGGCTAGGCCCATGGCTCCCTTTGTCCTTTCCTGAACGGCAGTTCTTCAGAACTTTAGGCTCCCCTGATCCCTCTCCCGCCCTCCTGTGGGGTCTCTGGTCCCATCTGTACCCCCCATTTGGTTGGAGCGCGTCTCTCTTTGTCCCAGTCTCTGCCTGTGTATCTTGCTTCCCTCTGCCTTGATCTCCATCTTTCTGTCCCTCTCTGCTTCGTCTCTGCATTTTCCTCTTTGTCTTGGATCTGTGCCTCGCTCCCTTTCTCCTAGATTCTCTGATTATTTCTGCTCACCATTTTCTGGACCTCCTCTTGTCTCTGGAGGAAATGCATGTGTGCCCAATGTTGCTACGTTCTTGGAGCCATTCTAAAAGGCATTATACAATGCTGGGCACTGGTGGCTTGTCCCCATCATCCTAGTACTCCCAGAGGCTGAGATCTGAGGATCTTTTTCCAGCCTGGGCAGGAAATCCTGTGAGGCTCTGAGCCTTCTCCCTGAATGTGCTGTTCCCACCTTTTCCTGCCAGTCACCACTTGCCCTTCCAGTCTAGGCGAGCGTCACCTCTTCCACGCAGCTTTCCCAGATCACCACCCAGTGTGCACCTGCTGTGGAAGGTTAGTCAATTTCTCACGTGAGTGCCCACAGCAGGTGCCTTCTTCCAGTCACCCTGGACTGGGGCCATCTGGATTGGAGGCCTTGTGTCCCCCACTGGACCTCCAGCTCTTGGAGGGCAGGCCGTGGGGCTGCCTCCCTGCCGAGCCTGCAGTACGTGCACAGGCCCTGGCTCAGAGGAAGCTTGGGAAATGTTGACCAACTGGTGACACACAGCCTTCTCCTGCCCACCTCTGCATTCCGCAGAAGGGAACTTAATTGCTCAAGGTCAAGCACATAGGAAGTGGAGGAACCTGAATTGGAACTCCACTTCCAATGAGGGCGGTCATGCCAGCCCAACCCCAAGGCCAAGAGTTCAAACCCCATAATGTACATCGACCCCCCCCCCAAAAAAAAAACCCATAAGATTTCTTAGTGAGAGTATAAGCAGGAAAAAAAATCAGAAGTCACAATAAAAACCAATACTCATCAAATGCTTCTGTCGTGGACGAGTTTCCAGCACTTTCTATACACAGGCTTAATCTTTATCGTAACTGGAAGCGTAGGTGCTCAGCATTTCATTTTAAAGATGAATGGAGATAGGGAAGGAATGTAGCGGGAGTGGCCAATCATCAGGGCGCAGTGGCATACACCTGCAATCCCAGCACTCTGGAGGCTGAGAAAGAAGGATCTGGAGTTTTGAGATCAGACTAGGCTATGTAGCAAGAGCCGGTATCAAGATGCAAAACCAAAAAAATAAAACCAAATGAGAGCTGCCTGATGGGTAATGGTTCAGTGGTTAAGCTGGTGCTTATCATGTATGCGACTCCAGGTTCCATCCCTAGCAACAGAGACAGACCTACAGACAGAATGACAGACAGACACACACAGAGAGAAGGACACATAGAAACAGATGCAAACAGACAGATACAGAGTCAGAGGGTGACAGACACAGAGAGACAGACAGATAGAGACAGAGACAGAAAGAGACAGACACAGAGTCAGAGTGAGACAGACAGACAGACAGACAGGCAGACAGAGACAGAGAGAGGGGGACACACAGATACAGATGCAAACAGACAGATATAGAGTCAGAGGGTGACAGACAGACAGACAAGAGACAGAGTCAGAGGGAGACAGAGAGAGAGACAGACGGAAACAGAGAGCGGGACACACAGACAGATGCAAACAGACAGATATAGAGCCAGAGGGAGACTGAGAAAGACAGAGACACACAGAGAGAAACAGAAACAGTCAGAGGGAGACAGACAGACACAGACACAGAGTCAGAGAGGGAGGGAGGATAGTTTGGAGGTGTGAGGAGTGTGTCTTGGATTCATGAAGCTGGGTTCCTGCAGCTACTGCCTCCAACGATTACAAGTTGCCTCCCCAAAGATTGCTGAAGTTCGTTTCCGGTGAATTCAGCTGGGGTGTCAGGTCACACCCTGCCTGCGGGCCTCCCGGCACACAGGGGCAGGGAGACAGGCACACGCAGGCTCCATCTGCCTGTGGTGTCATTATTTATGTGTAGTTTGGCGGGTGGTGGTGGTGGTGTGGGGTGCTTGTAGGAAAGGAAATGTTGATGGACCTCCAAGAGGGGAGATGGCCAAAGCTGTTAATGCCCCTGACATGTGACACAAGCCA